AAAAGGCCTCCATTTCTTCTTGATATAATCTCTCTTATGCCATACTGGAACGCCAAATGTGTCACCTTTCATTAGAATCTCACTTGAAAGCTCTGGTATGTGATGCCATCTGTATGTCCATCCTACCTCCATTTCTTACTGTTTACCTGTTGAGGTGTGACCTCTTGGTTGTTTTGCCTCCTGCTCATCCATTCTAACCAGTCGTCTGATCTTCCTTACCGAGTGGAAGTAGCAAGTGTTGACAAACGTCTCCAGTAGCCAGCTGGAGATACTTTTCACAGTATATATACCGATACACTTTTACAAGGCATAAAATTGCTTATTTCACTGTAGTCTATCAGCTTAGTAAGCTAACAGAGAGTTTTCAGCAAAGATTCCTTTGAATTTATGAAGGATAAACAATCAGCATAGACAAACTCTTCGAAATTACCCTCTTCTTACTCACTGTATCTCTCCCTCTCGCCTAATTATTCTAAACACTATGAATCCTCTCTGATGGGAGAAAATCAGTTCTCCATACAAACGTGAACTATAAGGGAAATCTTCATTACGCCAACGGACAACTTAAAATATTTCAGAAATAAGTGAAGAACTTAATTTAGTGGACATATTATTTTACGAGTTGATCAACTCGTAAAACATAACTAATCCTTACAAACCAAACTATAGAAAGGACATATTATTTTCTTTTCATAGCTGACCAATATAATGATGTAACTATTTTTTTGAAATGCTACCAGCTTCAGATATGATGGAGAAGATTTGTAGCTCAAGTGGATGATCTTGATGTGGTTGTGTACGCTGAGCTGGATGGTTTTTACTTGCGAAGCTTTCATTGCCCCCACCCCCGCCTACTAGGCAACATCTTTAGCGCATACACTTCAATTTGAAGTGAGCTTTTAGATTTCTCCACGAGTTTATCAGTCATCTCTCCTGGTTGATGACCTTGAACGTAACTGGTTGTTTTTGGGTGTTTTCACACATTCTAGGCTACTTGTAATGGTACTGACGGTTTCCTTGACCTGAACTTTGACCCTTTGTGTGTAAGATTTCCTTCTTATCGATTGGTAAATTTTGTCTATCTCAATGTATCTATGTACTGACGATTCACTGGAACACCAGCCAGGCTTCTAAAAATTCTCTGGTTAGCATTCTTGTTGTTTCCTCTGTCTAATATTTGAATGTTGATTGTCCCAGTCGAATCCTTGTCCGTGGTTGCCTGCATGTAGTGTTATGAGGGAGTGGATGTCATGTCGTTTGACGGTTAGCCTATGTTCATGGATACGAAGACGAAGGGGACTTCCAGTTTGGTCAATGTAGTCTTTTACGCAGTTGTTACAATTTATTTTGTAGATGATGTTGGTTTTATCTTCTTTCATTGTTGAGTCTTTTGGTTGACATAGAATTGAGTGAAGTGATTTTGTTGGTTTGTGTGCGACGTCATCTACTAAAATTTCGGAGAGTCTTTCGGTGATTTATGCTGATTCCTGTGATCACTCCACCGATTCTGCTATCCATTATCTAGAGATCAGAGTTATTCAAATTAATGACCAAGAAATAATCGTATCCATTGATGTCATAGCATTAAATACCTCAATTAGACAGGAACTAGCAAAAGAGACCATGCAGCAATTACTCAGCAACGACGAACACCTCATACAACAATCAAAAATACAACACACAAGTTGGATGGAATACATAAACCTATGCCTAACAATGCACTTCCAATTCAACGGCCAAATATATAATCAAGTCAAAGGAACACCCTTTATGGGATCGCCAATATCAGGTTTTATTGCAGAAGCAGTGATGCAAAGGCTCGAAAAAATAATCCTACTAAAGATCAAAACCAAAATTTGGATACGTTACGTAGACGACACATTTGTTATAATCAAAAGAAACGAGTTGGATAAATCTCACAATTTAATAAACAACGTCTTCAACGACAACAAATTCACAAGAGAAGAGGATTCCGAGAACAAAATCCCTTTTTTGGATGTCCGAGTCAAGCGAACAACCACAGGGGAATAAAAAACTCAGTTTTATAGAAAATCAAGTCACACGCACCAAATACTGAATTACAACAACAAAAACTCAATAATATACAATAACACAAACTATTCAGCTCAGAGAACACAGCTACATCAGAAGCTTCCAACTTCATTTTCTTGGACTGCTCCATAAGTCATAGTCCTTTGAGTAGACCATCTCCAGTTATTCTCACTAGCTAGATCTGTACCACTGTATGCTGAAACTGCAAATTTGTAAGTCTTAAACTCCCGTAATCAACATTAAAACGGATTGATGATTATTTTCACTCAAATTTACCGAAAACAAATAGACTACTGTAATTTGTTTTAAGTAGTCTATCTCCTCACAGACACGTCTACTTTAATAGTGTCAGCAGTAAAGTATTAGTAAGCTACTGAATAAAAGTACAAATAGAATATTTAAGGTGAGGATAAAAGAAATAAGAGTAGCTTCTCAGTGTAATTAATTTATAATCCACCTACACAGGTAGTGGGTGATTTTGAGGGTGAAATTTATGAGATTAGCTTCGGCGTTCAACGAGTCACGTTTCGAGAGTAACACGTTAATCAGATCGCTATCTCATATATGTCCAAACCAAGTTCACTTTTAACAGTTGAAAAAAACTTGGGCATTGAGCATATGATATTCATTATAATAAAGTTTTTGTATTTCCCATTGAATAAAAAACAAAACGACATCGTTGTTTTTACTGACGTTTCGCTATTCAATTCTGCTGCTAACAGCATTATCAAAGTAGTAATATTAAACCAGAGTTTAGAAAATCCACTCAGCTTATATATAACAACTTAATCATCGTTCCTCAGCATGGGGTCAATTGGTAAAGATAAAAAAACCAGGTGTAGATGATTGTTGGATTTGATCAGTGTGTAAAATTATAAAAGTAGTGTGTGTTTACATAGTGAACTTGCTTATCACATTCGTGTTGATTTTGTCACTTCATGGGGGAGGGTGGGCGGTGTGTTGTAACCAGCTCAGATTCTGTTTTAGTCCATTATTCCAATTCAGTTGAGACAATTTGAATTCCACTTGATATGAAGTGCTTCTGATGATGTGAGATGTTCTTTGTGATTTCTGAAATCGCTTTTTCTAGATTATTTCAATATTGTCAAAATCAAATCTGTGACCTGACTCTATTGCATGTAGATCACTTATGGCTTATGATTTTGCAGCATCTACAAACAGTCTGTTCAATTTCGGCTTTGCTACCGACACGCCAATACGTTGTTGTCAATACTACCTGAGATTACCCTTAATCTATGTAGAATTTTATTTATTGTTAATTTACAAACAGGATGCAATAGTAAAGTGCTGAGAATTCCATTCTGTATCACAAGTACTGTTTTGGAATAGAGGAAATTATTATTCAAGCTTTTCTAGTTCAACTGGATATCTCGGTGGTCGAACAGAGGCTGTTCTACGGTATTCATTTCTTCTGATTTTGATTCCTCTTTGGCGATGTTTGTCCGATGCATGTCGCATCACATTCCAAGCAAGCATTTTATTTTATAGACACAATTAGATAGAGAATCTTTACGGATTATAGGTGTATTATGTAGCTCACTTGGTAGGGAGTCGGGCTGATAGTCAGAAGATTGGTTATTTTTTAATTTTATTTTTTATTTTTGATTACAGCTTGATTCCACACTGTATTTTTGGTACAAGTATGGAATTTTCAGCGTGGATATCGGTAGCCCAAATTTTGCAGGCCAACCAAAGATATCAGATGTGCGTCGGCGAGGGCTCGAACCCCGTACCATGTGCATGTTCGGTGAGAGTCCTAACCACTGTGATCAATCCAGACTGTTTTTTCTGACTTTCAATCATTACAAATTACATTAAATAGTAGTCTGACAATCAAAAGAAATCACACTCTAAGCAAACCTTCGAGTGGTGCCACCACCAGTATGGAAAGCAACCAGCTGAGTATCTCTCAGGGTGACATGAAAAAGATCATACTTGCGACTAGATGAAATTGTTGTCAGAATGTGTCGTTTGACGCTCTATCTTCCACTCAGGACTCATTGAATTATTTTCTCCTTTTGGATCAAGTCACTATGTTAATCCTTGATTGATAGACAATTTAATTCTGATTAAATGAGAGATGTCTTGGTCCATCTAAGCTTCAAGTATCTGTCATTCATTTGTATGCACCGTAGTAAAACAAAGAAAAGTGCACTCACAAATCTTCAGTGTATACTAAGACGTTAGTAATATTACGACTAGCGCCTTTTATACGACATCTTACCACGAGTTGAATTATCTGTTGTTAACGAATCCTCCTGGAAGAACACATATATCGACGATAAAAAGGAAGCATGCATCCTAAGATACTGGGCCTATTTTTTGTATATCTTATGTCAGTAGAGACTATAAATTCATAAGTATGTATTATTATCTCTCCTAATCTTTCCGATATTCAGTGTGTATTGCTATGTTGATGCTATTGAACAGTCATCTTAGATAGTTGGAGGAAATCGGCCACAGGAAGCCTGGACCTAGGTTTCGGGCTAGATGGCACTCACTAGTCAGCAAGGTGTATCTGAAACCCTGAAAGAACCATGTCCCTTCTGAGATTCGAACCTGTGTCACTCAGTGCCACCTGCAGTCACAGACCTTACCACTGGAACTATTCGGGCTCGGAAGTGACCTCCTGTAGGACTGTAGCTGGTAATGGTGGCCACAGTGCAAACCTGACTGACAGAATTCAGTCTATGCCAAAGAAAGGCCTAGATACATCACACTAGTTACTAGTGTCCAGTCAAAGAATTGTAATCTATTCATAATGTTGATCCGATGTTATTTAAACAACATTAATGAAGAGCAGGTTATCGAAAAGAGTATTTGTTGTTCAGCAACCATTCTTTTGAAAATTTCAAGAAGACTTGATCATGAGAAAAGATTTGAGAGAAAAAAAAATCAAAACACCGGGGTACAATTAGCGAACTCACCTCAACAGGGAAAAATCCAACTTGACTAGCCTTCTCTACACCATTCTCCTCATCAAATAAACATTTCCAACTGATTACCTTTAAACCAATTTGTCCTGGTTCTAAAAATGTTGATAGATTTAACACTTCAGGTAGCAAAGTGGTAAATAACGATTGAGAAATTTTCTCCCATGAAATATAATTCCAACGATCAGGTTGATTTTGAAAATTGAAATTTTCACTACATCTAAACAATTCATACGGATCATTGATATCTTGTCTTTTCGCCGTTGGCGCTGTTGTTGTTGCGGCTGTTGCTGTTTCAGAGGAGACTTCAATTGACGGTAATCCCATTTTTTCATTAGTCGCAGCGTTGATGTTAACGGGTGGAATAGTTATGTAGAAATAGTTTGGTATGTAGGTCACAGGATAATCATTTAATGGCGTATAATATGGTCTAATTTGATATTGATTCGGTCTTCTAAATACAACATACATATCCCAGTAGAAATGTTTCCTTCTCAAAGACTTTCGATAGACGTCACCACCTTCGTCGCCATCTCCATCATCATAATCATTCGTTGGATACATTGGTAGGCAGTCTTGTAAATAACCATTCCATAAACGTGTCACAGGTAGAATATCTTCAATTGTCATATGTACTGTTGACGTTCTACTCTTCTTTACAAGTATTTGACCAAATTCATTTAAAATCTCCAAGTGTTTTTGTAACCATTCAATTGTCCAATGTTTATATGAATTCATCTCTTCCGAGAGAAATTCACCTTCATTCAGTAAAAAGTCGATTTTTTCTTTATTATTAAACAGCTGGTCAAGTTGTTCAATAGCTTCATTTAATGAGGTGTCTAATAAACAATTGTCAGCCGCTAAGATTGAATCATCACGTACTAAAGAATGAAATCCTTGTAGAAGTTGAGTTTTAGGATCTCTGTTCTGTTGTTTATGCATGACGATAATCAATGAATGAATGTATGGGTAGTGAATCACCAAAGATAATTCACTTTTGTATATACAATATATATATATATATATATATATATATATATATATATATCAAAAGTACTATTTATATTGATCACATGTGACATCCAGACCAATGGCTATTCATACAAAACAAAAAGTACTTACAGTTAACTCGTTCTAAAAGTTTATTTTATGCTTAAAGTTTTTGAGGAAAAATCGTCTGACGTGAGTAATCTTCAACTATTCATATCAATGGAACAGAGATATAACTACGACTAACTACCATTCAGTGGATGACCTTGAATAGTCCAATGAGTTTTATCCACGTGAGTTGAAGGTTGTATTCCGCTTGATTCGAGTCAAATACCTGCTCTAATGCAGTTAAGCTTGCAGTGTGGTGAGGATAAAGTTTTCGAGTATTGCATGGATATGTGGTTGCGTAGGAAGAAGAGGATTTGTTCATGTGAAGGTATTGTGAATATAAAATGTTTCAGCATTTGTATATTTTTTGTGAAACGAGTTAGTGTCAGCGAAAGTAAGCTAATGACTGTAGGAACACTTTTTGCTATGTTGCACCTCTCCCTAACCCAGATTTTGTATATCTGTAACTAGCGGGTTTTAAAACAGCCTGTCAGAGGCGCACCTGATGAAACTGAAAGTAGCCTTGTGTCAACAGTTCAGCGGTACCAGTGTAACAACAAAAGACAAGAGCCAGGCAGCAGATCCTTTATTAAAGGAAATCAATACATATTTATAGACTTTGATGTACATTATTATAGATTATTGTTTGCAGACGAACACAGTCTTCTGATTGGTTGTTCCTCACAGAAAGTTAACCTTGCATCGTCGGTGGCACAGTGGTTACAACTCTCGCCGACCATGCACGTGGTCCGGGGTTCGAGCCCTCGCCGGCGCACACCTGATATCTATGGTCGGCCTGCGAATTTTGGGCTACCGATATCCACGCTGAAAATTCCATACTTGTACCAAAAAAACAGTGTGGAATCAAGCTGTAATCAAAAATTAAATTAAATTTGTGGCTGTTTCTTGAATGTTGTTTCATCTATATGTTAACTGTGTCCACCTACTCAAAGTCTTCTGTGGTTGGTTGTTGAATCAGTCTTTGTTCATATTTTCCTCACAACCAATGTTGAGGACGTAAACGCTGACGTAAATTACGGTCTACCAATTTGGCTAGCAGCCAGTTCTCACCACACCAGCACTGCAGAGACATTGTGTCATGGGAAATGGAGAGAATTACTTTGTTATTAACAGGAGAAGGTGTCGTCACACACGTGGACGAAACTGTCTTATTGAAGAAAAAATATAACCGTCGTCGTGAACGTGAAGACAACGTTTGGGTGATCAGCTTTGATGTCACCTCCGTAAAGAAAGGATTCGCTAACAGAATAGCAGACAGAAAGTCAACCACCTTAGTACCTGTTATCACTCGACTGATGAAACAGGAATCTATAATACACACCGATGAGTGGAAGGGTTATAACTCCCTGTCTTCCCACCGATATATCCATCATAGAGTGAACCATTCCAGTGATTTTGTGGATCCCTTTACAGGGACACATAAGAATTCTATCGAAGGATTTTAGGGAAGATTACAAAACAGGATTAGGGCTATAAATGGATCTCAAAAGGATGTTGTTTATAGTCATTTGGATGAAAGTATGTACAGAATATGGTGTAACTTTTCTGTTGATACTCCAATCCTAAACTGGAAGATGCTTCTGTCACATGTTAGAGAAAGCTACTGTCAGTGTAGTTGAAGATTGAACGATCAATTAATGGTTGTTTGCTCAAACCCAACTCTATATTATTCCCGGATTTCATCAATCCGGCAGTCATCGTCTCATCGTTCGCTGTTCAATGGAAGACAGAAAACTATCAGAAGTATTATCGTGATTTATTGTTATAACACTTATTCTTAGACCTTGTGTGTAATAGCCTTATTGTTGGTTACATGTTGGCGTAAGAATAAAGGATTCTTGAGTCGCCAATCTGTGTTCTGGTTTTTCGCGTTGGTTAATACAAATTATTTCTGAAAGTCTTCCAGGGACAGAGTGAGATCCAGCCTAGCTAGAGCTGGACATTGACAGTTTCTGAGAGTTGGCTGACAGATACCCTATGTAAGAGTTTTATGCAGTATTTATGCATTTTTTTTCATAAATTTACGTTTTTTATAACTAAAAATGCCTCTTTCATGTGATTGGTCCGTTGGAGGTTGTTCGCTGATTAGTTGCTAGTGGTGCTTGAAGTTTAACTTTGTTAAATGTAGTTTAATTATCTTAGCAACAAAATGAATATTTCAGAAATTGTCGTTAGAATTGGAAATTTTAGATTACGAATATCGCTAATTCGTTAGGAACTAAAGTAAGATTAAATAAGCGAGTTGAATGAAGTAATCTAATTGACAGGGTTGAGTAGAGCACAGCTAAAATCAAAATTGCACGAAAGTCAAGCTAACAACCGTTGTAATAAGGGGGGAAGGAGAGGTAAGAAAGTATTATACATTTAAGAAACAAACAAGCAGAAATACGAGGAAACAAAAATTACGTATTTGTTGCTAAGATAGGTTTGCTTGGTGTCCAGATTCAATCAGGTGTTCCAGAATAGAACTTTGTGGGGGGGGACCTTTTTCGTCCTTTATAAAACCAAGACTGTGAATAAGTGTCCGGTGATACGTTTGGATAGCAAACGCTGGGTACGACAGACATACCTAGCTCTACATGCACCGGTGAATTGGTAGATGCACATTAACAAGGCCAACACTGGTAGCTCATCCTTCAAGTTCATGTGAATCATTGGTTTTAGTAGAGACGGTTAGTTAGAGTTCAGCCGCGAAGAAGGTTGTCTCCAGTAATGTTAGCTAAGCTCTACTCTCAACCCTGACAATTAGATTACGTCACTTAACTTGCCTATTTAATCTTATTTTAGTTGCTAATGGACTAACGAAATTTGTTATCTAAAATTTACAATTCTATTAATAAATTTTTGAAATATTCCTTTTGTGGTTAAGAAAATCTACTATGTATATACGCGACTGTACAGTTTGTGAGTGATATCGCCGAAAAGAAGAGTAACTCTTCACTGAACGCCTTTTCTTTTATATGACCCAATGGGAATTTCTAATCTCCTCAAACAGAGGTGTGTTTGCTTTTTATTCTTTTGTGTCCTAATCGGAACACCTGGCTACATATTTGAGCTTCCAAGTACTTTTTAGTGGTTGTGGTGATTTTCATTAAGGTGGAATTAAGGCGGCAGCTGAGGGTTCGCTTGCTTACTGTTCACCCTCCCCTATCTACCAGGACTACTATTACCGGTAAGGCGGAGCAGGGGATCGAACTAATTAAAAACCACTAGTTCCCTTGATGAATTTAGACAAAGCAATAAGAAGACGTAATTTGTCTGAATTGTGTGTGTAATGTGTACTTGAGCAACACATTTCGAACAATCTGATCACACTCCACGGACTTATCATAGGAATATACATATGAAATTAATAAAGAGTTCAGTGGTGAGGAAATAGACTACTTAGATCAAGTTAAAAGTACTACATTGAAGGTCAAAATAACAATGAAGATCACCAAACCAAATAACAGAGGCAATAGTACATCTACTGTGGCTGGTATCAAAACAAAGTTTATCAAAGAAAGGTTTAGTGTGATGACGAATTGTTGCTTTGAACACATAAAGGCGGTTTAAACCTTCTAATTACCAGCTAGGGATTTCACAAACTTTAGGATACGCACTAAACACTTTCTATAGATAAGTTCAAAAGACATGCAAACGTCAATTTTATGTCCTGTCCCTATAATATGTTTCGCAACAGAGGAGCTAGGTCATCGTCTGTTCTCACCATTAATGGGTTCTGAAGATTCTATTTGTTTCTGGAGCCATTTAGGAATATGCTCTGTAGCCAGCCCTTACTTGCAGAGATCAATGAGTCCTCCCCCTTTTTTGTATGCGTGACCACACGTACATTCAAATTGGTAAATACAATGGGATGTGACATTTTTCACATGTTCTAAGAGCTCAGATGGGTGGATATATCAGCTTCAAATTCTCAATAATTATGATTTTAGTTGCATAAAAAACCTTTTTAACCACAACGTTCAACCGTTGTCGAGTTACCAAGCCGCTGTGATCACCCATATAGAATAGCTTGATATATACGTCTTTATTAAAAGAATTACCTGTTTATGATGGCCATGGCAGGGAAGAGTTGGGTTTCAGCCGATGTACTCAACTTCGCACGAGCAAGTAAACTGGTATATGCACTTTGAAGTGGCCCAACGCGACAACTTGTCTTTCGCGTTCTGGCTGAACAGTTTCTTGCAAGAAAACGTCAATCGTAGGCTTACGACGAAGTATGTTTTCCTCAGAGATTTGCATAGGTGTTTACGAAGGCTTTCTGCTTCAATGTTATCTTTGAATTCTAGATTAGGTAGAAGCATCTTCTTCGGGACGGATTGGACTTGTTCAGAAGTAAATCTTCTCCGGTTTTAAATTTGTGTCTATGAACCTACGTCTTTTTTTAGTGGCAAGTCGGAGATTGAGTCTTCGTCTTCTGACTACTTTATATCTCTCAATGAACTTGTCTGGATAATTATTACCAATCAGAGTTTGTGTCAATTTTCTTTCTTCATTATCACTGTGTCTTCGGTGCATATTGGGTGGATTCTATCGAAGACGTACATTACTAAGGCTCTTTTTGAGGTAGAGCAGAACCAATGACAAGGATCTAATTACAAAGTAAATATTTCTTCGCTTCATCATCTTCTCTCCCAATGATTAAATGGGTATTTTTGCTTTATTAAAATCGAGTTTTGTCGGTACCATTAGCTGGAACATAGCACACTATACATGAGATATATGCCGATGTAAGAATACGTGGGTAGTTGAATCCCATCCCAGTGGCTGAATAGTCAACAAGATTGCCTTATAACTTGAAAGTCTTGAGTACTTTCTTCGTTGGAGTCGTGGGAAGAAGGACTGCTGAAGATTC